AGTGGTTTACCAACCCGGTTATAGCCCCGTATATCGACCAAGAAATACACTGAAAATCATCGGAGCAAGTTTTCATTTCACAGATCACATGGTCACCTGGTTAATGAGTTCCGTGGCATTGAACTTCGGCCTATTGTCTCTACTTGTACATAATGTTTACACCTTTCCGTTCCAGTGTTATTACGCTGGTACCTTACATGTTTATGAGCCCGTATTATACATAAATGTATATATCAATATTTTGCCACAATAATCTTATTTTCAGCACCGGATAAATTTGATTGGGCAGCTTTTTCAGAACCGATGTTTGTAAGTGGGCTGGATGCTACTTACCGCAACAACGGCGACTTAGTCGACTTTATTGGATATTTTACAATAATTAGTACACGAATTATTCGACGAACTTTGATTGAATACGCATGTCTGACGGATGGCAGCAACCGCAAAGCCGGTCGTGTGCTACCAGAGAATTTTCGTCGAGTCACTTATTGTACAGCATGTATTTATTTGTTTACATAGTAACAAATGAACTGAGAATTGGAGATAGTGAGGATGGCTGTCGTAACTTTTCCTACATTTAAGCGACTGAGATCTCGCCTCACATACTATGCATATGGTTGATGATACAACAAAACCTTGAGGATCGTGAAATACCCCCATCTATTCAACAACAAAGATTGTAACGTGGAGAAATTTATATGCAATACGTCACACCAGGTGATCACATTTATGGTGTAACAAACCACGCGAAACGTGCATGATATATCTAATGTCTGGAGCACAGGAAAAGCATCTTACAATCTGTGACCTGTTTTTACAAAAGAATAACAACCCCTAAACAAATGTGAAATTGGGACAAGATTTACTGATGTTTAGCCCCTCCCCCTAGAGCCATTATAGCATGAATGTTTGCGTCAGACTACACACTATTTCCACAGTTCGGATTTCACAATCTCGATGGCTGTGAGTCCATTTGGGATATGAAACCTTTTCCATAATGTTTTCTTTCAAATCCTATGGGCTGACAGGATCACGTTGACCGTATTACGTATATCCACCTTCTGAGTACTCTCGACTATCTCTTGCTAACTGGCGTCACGTGCATAGTTTCAGAACGGAAGGGTCGTTTTCCAAATGGGTGCCTAAGACTTTAGGGCACGGCATACTTCGCGGTAGCCCACACTTACGAAGGGGTTTTTCTTTGGGAACCCTAACCGGAGCCTTTGACTCAAGAGTCTGAACCGCAAGGCAGCGGGAATAGAGGAGGCTTCGAAACCAATAATTGTGTTTACATATGACGCTGCATCTACGAAAACGGGGCCTTCCATGCAAACTGAAATAGACAATAACAGGAAAATAAACTGTATGGTATCCGACGAATATATATATATATATATGCATATATGTGTATTTCGTAATAAGAAAGAATCGAGCAACTCCATGATAACCTAAACTAGGTTATTCCAGGGGATAGCGAGGAGGAAAACGACTTGAAGCTCCCTTTCGTGGTCGTCCTCGTCATAAGAAAACCAGACGGAAACACCGAAACCACTGTGTACAGAAAACCCACAACGACAGACCAGGGGCTGAACTACGATAGCAATCACCTCACATGTCACCCTAGGAGCTGTGTGTACACTTTATTCCGCCGTGCAGACACATTGCAGCAAAAAGGAACTTCGGTATCAGGAACGAATGCATCTGTTCCATCAATTCCACACAAATGGATACCCACTCATGCCTTAGGGGAAGAAGAAAACCGAAGGATGAAGAGAAGAAAACGAAACTCTTATTACCATACATACGTGGGGTATCAGAAGCCATTGATCGCATCCTTCGCCCTCTGGGTGTCACCATTGCCCACAAACCTACAACATCGCTGCGGTCAATTTGGTTCAGCGGCAAGGACTATGTAGAACCACACAACCAAACAGGAGTGGTGTTCTCAATTTCGTGCCTAGACTGCGACCAACGTTACGTGGGAGAGACAAGGAAACAACTGTGCACTGGCCTACATACACTTGCACTATGAAGCACCGACCTGAGGTCACATCTCTGGAACCACTGCGTAACGGTAGGTTACGAGGTCAGAATCAATGATGCAAATGTAGTGGCAAGGGCAGAGGGGAAGGGGGAACATCTGAACCCTGAAGCGCTGCTTTCGACCACCTCATTCAATCGACACAAGGAAATCAATAAACATTACGCAACAATTGTACAATCAATGAGGAAAGCGGGATTGATGGACAAACGAGTGCGACGCAAACCGCAGTGCGAGGCACAAGCAGACCCAATTCATTCACACGTATTATCGTTTGAAAACGAGTCCTAGTCTGAATCGAAACGTCACAATAAATACTATCATTCAGTGCTCGCCTTCTCCTTTTCAAAAAATATATATATCACCAGTCTTTAGATAGGGCACAAAATAATCATGGGTTGAATGCGGAATTTAGAAACAGAAAGGGGAAGACAAGAAAACCGATAACAGTTCTCTTTTGCTTGGTTATCACACCCCATTCAGATTATTTACTTGTTTTCTGGTTTTAAGTGTGGGATTGCACACAGGAAGGTGTGCATTCACACCACTGACCTCGGTTCAACAACATATCCCACAGTGTCACCGGTCAAAGACAATCTGAATCTTTGGAGCCTCAACTGGGGAGCTAGGAAGCCCCTTAGGAAGTCAAATCCGAGCACAATCAATTCAAACAGTCTATAACACGTTATAGGTTGCCTACCTCAGTGATTTTTCCTGTCTGAACCAATGTTCGCATGCATCGCACGGTACGTCAAACGTTGCTCAGACATTCTACATTCGTAGGACGTGCCCCAGCCACCTAAGAAGATGCAGTGAAATGGTTTTGCTCAGTGGAAGACTATCAGACCTTAACCCACGTCACCTGACCTCATTGTTATTCATGTGATGGTTCCACCATACGTGAACGATGTTGCGCAGACAACGGTTGCCTGGAGAAAATAAGGCATGAAGGAAACGGTTAGGAAGAACCGTCCGCCTGGTTGAACCTGGTCAGGTTATTTGAGTCAATGACCCTTAATCACACATTTACTCCACAGAACAGACCTCATTGTGGAGTCCTCAAAAACACTATCGGATGCTTAAGGGTTGTTCTACCTTCATCCTCAAAATTAGGCTTCGATAAAATTTGAATGAATTCTGAGTTGAGAGGCATTGGGACATCCTCTAAATACTTCAAATTATTGTTGATATATTTGCACGATGAAAGAACATTCGAATATATGTTTATAAATGCTCGAAGAAGAAGTTACGACTATAAACTTGTCTGCTATATTTTCGTCTTTTGATAGTATCATAGGGATCCTCGGCGAATCAGCATAGTTGCCACGTTTGTTATCAGCGCGAATT